TATTTTCGTTTTTTTATCGATTTTGTGGGTGAGTGCGTCTTAAATGGAGTTTTTGATGATGATTTGAGACAAATGCCACCTACATCACACAAAATAATAGCGATGACTATAGAAAGAGAAAAGGCGAACTTCATCAGGAAATAAATAAATATAGAAACATCACAACACCATAGAAATTGAAACCAACGACTTCATGAAAAGGGTAATTAAACAAAAAAGAAAAATCTTCGACAAATCTAAAAAATGGATGGGAAAACTCATAGATTGTTTACTAAATGAAAATCACATAAATCGACTGGAAAATGTAAATAATAAAGTGGAAAATTAATGAAACATCATGCAAATAACCAACTTCAAATACAATTTCAAGAAACCGAGCATATTAAGGAAGCCAGTTACATTTGCACCATTTTGCCTCAAATCAGATTCTTGATGGTAATTCAAAATAAATGCCACCGAAAGCACAGAGAAACACGACAACTATAGAAGAAGAAAATACAAACCAACTTTGAAGAAACCAGTCAAAAACGTCATCACATTGAAAACCAACAACAATAGCCAATTGTGCCACAATCGAGATTTCATGGTCATTTGAGACAAATGCCACCGACATCCCACAAAATAATGGCAATGATTAAGGAAGAAAATAGAAACCAACTTTATCTAGGAAATAAATAAATTATCATGACACTAAAGAAGAATAAATCAAGCCGACTTTATGAAAAGGTTAAAAAAAAAAAACAGAGAAATCTGTACAAAAACTAACGAACGTGAACGTAAAAAACAGCCTTCAATATACAGTTTCTAGAAATCAATCAAATACAATTTCACCATTATGCCTTGAATCAAGTTGTTGGTGATGAATAGAGACATATGCCACCCAATGACTACAAAACTAGAAAAACAAATCGAATTTCATGATGATATTTAATTAAAAAAAAACTTTGCAAAAATTAATAAAACTATAAACCAAGAAGCTCGTAAATAGGACGAGCTTTGACTTCATCCAAATTGGTTTTGTGTTTTATTATATGTAACACCTGAATTTTGAGTTTTATATTTATATTTTTACCTTAGCATAATTCTTGGTATCTATTTTGGGTGAGAAAGAAGATTACTTCTAGTGAAGTTTCACAGCCGAGGAGTTTGTATATTTGACCAGTTGGGACTCATCAATTCACTTAAAATTGTTCAGGAGGTCGAGCAAGCGTTCGAGTCCAGTGAGTGCAAGGAAAAGTCAGATGGTTGAGTTTGTGTCCAAGACGTTAAGGGGAAAAGCTCTGAGGTGGTGGAATGTTACAAGATTTGCTCTTGGAGCTGCAATTATCATTCTTCTCACATGGGATGTGTCTTCAGTGGAAGGTGATGGATCAATAATGTAACGATAGGGCGTTAGATGAGTACTCTAGTCATTTTATGGAGAAACTGGACTTGGCGAGCCATTTGGCCCCAAATGAGATGAAGATCAAAGCCTATCTGAATCCGAAACACCAAGGTTTCTACACTTCAAGAAGTTATAGAGGGAGCTCAACTTATAGAAGACGATCTTGCTCAAGACAATCGAGGTCTTTCAAGAAACCGAGACCATTCAAATAACAATCTTGGGACTGATTGCTTCCAAATAATAAATTGATAGTACATCAAGATCGTTTTCACAAATTTGATTTCACTTGATATATATCTTTTATAGGCATGGAAATAAGACTCGCTCCATTAGGGAACCCGGTGTACTTGTCTCGACGGGAACAACGATTTCCTGTAAAATCGGAGATGGGATCCCCGAAAGTTAAAAACTAAGGATAGGAATGGGGCTGACTCGGCCGAGTAACATGGTGCTGTCTGCTGCTTGCTGTTAGCGAGATGGCACGGCAGCGACTGCTGCTGCCTAAAACGGTCCCAAAACACGCAGGCGATGGGGAAAGAATTAAGGGTACGTGTTTGGAGGGTCGAGCAGAATGGAAACAACAGAACAGCACCCATTGTTCACGCAAGGCTTGCAAAGGAAAAGACCGATAGTGCCTGCTGTTTTGCACGAAGTGGCTCGGTAACAGTTCAGCCGAGGCTGCTGTTTGCTCGACGTAGAGACGAAAGACAGATCAACAGCCGTGGCTGTTTTGGCGAAGTAGTCTAGTAACAGCACCGTTGTGGCTGCTGTTACCGCACGAAGAAAACCGCAAGGAAAAACTAAACGGTAGCCAAAATCACCTGTTGTTGCTGCTGCTGTTTCCGAAGGGTGAAGAACGGCARCGCCTTCTGCTGCCAGATACCGACTAAAACGCAAAGAGGTCGGGGGGATGAAAGATTGGGGCTGGA